GAGATCGTGCCATTGCACTCCAGCCTGGGTGACAAAGTGAGACTCAAAAAAAAAAACAAAAAAACACCCACACACACAGATTGCCAGGCCCCGCCCCCAGAGTTTCTGATTGAGCAGGTGTATTCGCTTCCCGAGACTGTTGTATAAATTACTACAAACTTAGTGGCTTAAAGCAACAAATATATATATATAAAATCTCACAGTTCCGGATGCCAAAAGTCCAAAATTAAGGTGTCAGCACGCCATTTCCTTCGAAGGCTCAGAGGAGAATCCTTCCTTGACTCTTCAGTTTCTAGTAGCTCCTAGTGCTCCTCCCCTCCCACCCCCCGCAGGGTCTTGCTCTGTCATCCAGGCTGGAGTGCAGTGGTGCAATCACGGCTCACTGCAACTTCGATCTCCCAGGCTCAAGCAATCCTCCCACCTCAGCCTCCTGAGTAGGTGGGACTGTAGGCACATACCAAAGCCCAGATAATTTTTTTGTTAATTTTTGTAGACAGGGTCTCACTATGTTGCCCAGGCTGGTTTCAAACTCCTAGGCTCATGTGATCCTCCTGCCTCGGCCTCCCAAAGTGCTGGGATTACAGGCATGAGCCGCCTCACCTGGCCCATAATAATGTTTTGATATATATAGTGTATGCAGCAACAGGTATTCTATTTGTAGTTGTTAGGATGTTTAAGGTTACCTGCTTTAACAAACAACCCTAAAATCTTAGTAGCTTAATACAATAGGTTCTTACTTACATAAAGTCCAAAATGCTTTATGTAAGTCCAAGGATAATTCTCAGCTTCCTGCAGCCAGTGAGTGAAGGGAGAAAGAGTAAGGATTATGGGGGACATTCTAGACTGAGTCTGGAAATGAGCTACGTCCCTTCTGCACCCATTCCATTGGCCCAAGACCAGTCACATGACCTCAACTTCACTGCAAGGAGACCTGGGAAATGAAGTCCTCCTGTGTGCCTAGGAAAAAAGACACCGGCCGGGCGCGGTGGCTCAAGCCTGTAATCCCAGCACTTTGGGAGGCCGAGACGGGCGGATCACGAGGTCAGGAGATCGAGACCATCCTGGCTAAC